CTTGGTGTCTGTCAAATTTTTATTCCCAAGAATTGTTATAAATAGTAAATTAGGGGTATAATGAGATTACTTTTTTGAGTGCCGTGTTAATATTTTACAAATGCATTTATAACAGTTTGATTCATAACCACGCTGATTTTTGTAAGCATTTATTGTTGAATCAAACTCAATAGTATAAAAATTAAAATTTACTGATGTACAGTTTTAAAAAAAAGACTCGCTAGGACAGACGGTGGTATAATTTCACGTTCAAAATTGGAACGTCTTCATTCGACAATAACAACAAAATACTTATTATACAAGTTTGTCTGTGTAGTAAAATGAAAATATCTAAGCCATTTACCTAGTTTTAAAAAATATGAATCAGGTTAACATTCTTTGTATTCTTTATATTTCTTTTTTACTGTAAACAAAATAAGCAGACGAGTGGCTACCGCAAAGAATGCCAAAACACGATACAGCATTCAAGTACAGCATTTGCTGATGTTTGTCTCGTCTCAAAGCTCCGTGGGTCGTCTGTCGTATAAAAAAAGTTTGATGAATATTAGAAACGAGACGATGAAAATATGATAAAGGAAGAAATATTACAAAGAAGAATTTTGGTAACATATGACAAAGGAAAATGGCAAATTAGTAGTAAGAAAATAAGATAAATAAATAAATAAATACATGTAGGGCAAAGCTCATCTTAATAATTTTTGAAAACTCACTTTTTTACCACAAATTAAATACGTCTCATTACCTGTACACACGTAATTTAATGATCTTGAAGAAAAATCTTGATCTTTATTATGAGAACCGTATGTTTACTTAAAATATGAAAGAGATATACAGACGTATAAACGTAAAAATCTGTGATATTAATAATTACCACTGATCCATAAAGTTTTAAAAAGATAAAATTTAAGACTGAAGAAGCCTTTGTAAATATCACTTTGTAGTTTAAATTTCACTTTAAAGCTTATGCTATTATGTCTCGTTAAGACACTAGGAACTGTTATTAATTAAGAAGGCGAGGGTTTTGAAAACCCAAATGGGGGATCGTGACGTGAGAGACACCCAAAATGAAGAAAGAGACATCTGTCGGGTGGTTTTCTCAACCAGCAATTTCGAGAGATTGGTATAATTTAAATTAGACACTGCGAAACGTTTCCGCGGCCCTTAAATCGATCATGTCTGCCCCGACATCTCTCGAGATAACAGTTTTAGGGGCGTGTCTGCGGTTATTGAAGTCAGGGGATTCTGAAGAAAGGGATCGTTGAATGAAAATGTCAGCCAGCGAATTGCCGACATCTTCAAGAGGATAAGCGACCTAACACACGCCATTTTAATAACATGAAAATCTTCTTGTAGGCT